CTTAGGAATCCTGGATGGTAGACAGTAGGCGCCTATGTGCGGTGTCAACTTAGAGTGATGAGCCATTCATCGAAGTTCTCAATTGTAAGAAAAATGGTGTCACTCTAGAAACAGTACAAAATTCAAATCGAGTTCTGTGTAGGCCCGCAACATGCGTAAGTATAGTGCCAGGTTCACAAAAGTGGAAAATGGAATCGAGGTTGACATTAAGAAAAATAACAGGGAAGTTGTATATCGCCCTCTATTGCTCAACATTTTCTATTTTGCAAACACTATTCCATCAATGTTACGTTTTTGCACAACGAAAACCGGAAAGTGCGAACTTCCATTACTGTTGTTTTCACCACGCAATCATGCAACTCTTACATTGAGTAGATTGATATTAATTTCCAGCTGTGCTCATCGCTATAGTTGTGGAAAACTGTCTAATTAAGGAGGAATTCATTAATAGCTTTTCCGTTCGCAAAAACAGTAAAACTTGGCTAGGCATTCTGCCCCCTTTCAGGACCTGGATAAGGCCTTATGTCTTTATATAAATGTAATTATAATCAGTCATAAACGTCACTCTTTCCTCCACCGCGCCTCTATCCTCAATCTACGAAACGGATCTCGGATCTTCATTTGACATAAAATGGCTTGTTGTCATTTTATGATAGCACTGCCACAAGGTGAAGTCAGTCAACAACCTAATCATCTTAGACTTAAGATAGAATTGATATTGTATCCACCCACCGCTGTCAATGAACGATGCCTGCGCGTCACGTCCCCTGCCTCCTGGCTTGTAATTTCCTCTCAGTCAGTTTTTTCCGTCTTTTGTTATATTGTTGAGAAACTAGTAGAGACTGTACCTTGTATATGAAGTTAGCAGCTGAGGGGCTTTGAAGCTTTTCATGGTGAAAGTGGCAAATTAAGGGAAGGTGTACAGTAGCACTATGCGAAGATATCTCTTTCGTGGGAATGTGTGGTTCCGAAAAGAACCGGAGAGTGCTCAACACTTTGGACAGCATGCTCCGTCCGTCGTCATGAAGTTGCAAGCAATGTTGTATGAGCAGTCCAGGCGGAATGGACAGCCAGCAATGTGATCGTTGATTTGAAATTCCAATTTAAGAATAATAAGAACATGCCCATAGAGTGTGAGCACGTGGAAGACGATCCAAGTTGAACCGTTCGTGCTTCTGTAGCTTGCAGAGCTAGGCCTACATATTAAAAAGTCATCTGAGGAAAATCATTCATTTTTTTTTCATTTCATTCCCTTTAATGCGTATTTCGCAACGGAGTTATTTTAGTATAAAACGGTTGTAACAGGTGATAATGACCAGAAGTGAAACGACTGTTACAATTTCCCATCTAGCATTGTATAGAAATATGGATCTCCAGACCACCCAGTTGCCAAAGCTTCAGCTCTACCTGTAAATCTTCCTTCCGTTCATTATCACCGTTTTCAAGCCTGTATATAATTCGGTACAGAGTGCATCTCATAATTTGCCAGGAGAGCTTCTGTAATACATCGGCCGCCTTTTCTTTACTTCCCTCTGGGGGCAAAAGTGCTTTCCCCGTTCACGCGGAATGACCGGCTTAGTATTAAAGCAATGGTCAGTTATAAGCCGGGCTTTATTAATTTATGTCGTGGTCAGCGGTGGAGGTATCTTGGTAAAAGGCTATCAGATTGCAATAAATAGAGAACTGTACAACATGACTTGATTGAGACGGGGAGATTAATATGAATCAATGAAGTATACGGGGTTCGGTTCACTTACGGTACCTGATTGCCATTTGTACGTGCAACTCGCTCATTTTTCGTCAACAAGTTGTATCTTAGTGGGGAATGATATCCTCTTCTGTGGTGGTTGATGGATATTGTTATTATAAATCTTTTTCTCATCCTTGTCATTTATTCAGGAGAGGAAATCTTTGGTGCGTGAAATGAACCGCCTCTCCTATTGAGTACAGCTATGTATCCGCCCTCTTTGTAGAAGGACGTTTATGTTCATACAAACGACTTTGGAGGAACAGATGGTGTAAATGAACCAATAAGTCCTCCATAATATTTTAAGATGTTAGGTCCTTGTGAATTAGCCTTTGCACTTTCCCTCCTCTCTGACTGAACGTGCCACTTTACATTACGCGAGGTTGATGGAAAGAAAGCTTCGATGGTCATCGTGTGTCGCCTGCATTCAATCTGTGAAATTATAGCAAGCATTCTTTTCAGTCTTAATTTTTAAAGATTATTTTTCTTGAACGTACACGGATGTAATGTGAGGCCTCCGGGGATCATCGACAGTAACGATACAAAGCATGGACACAACAAATGGCAGACTTTAAAGGAACCAGGAAATAGAAATATTGTTATACATTTTACCAAAACCCTCGAAATTGCATCTTTGGGTTTAAATTAACCCTCTTTTAAATTTTTGTTTTGCTCTTTTAACCCATATTTTGATTTTTTTTGTTTTATGCTAATGCATATTTGCATATTCATGAGCAGAACTATGATGTCATCCATGGCACCGTGACTGAATCTTAATGTTGCACTGATTTGTGCACAGAAAATTTCAAATTTTTTTAACCACTGCTATGGCAAATTTTATTTTCTTTGGCAATTTATTGCTGTGGACGTATATGGCAGTAATCAAGCAAAATTCCTTTTCACAGAAATGTTCCCAGATAGCAAATTTGGGATTCACAATTTGAACATGAAAACATGCAACCTGGACAATGTCTTCCTCGATTTACATCAAAGCAAAAGCGCCCTCACTCGTCCAGAAATGCTTGGTCAATCTTTAATGTTTGAAAAAGTGCACCGTTCAGTTCACGTAACTCAAAAAACAGTCTTCATACATTCTACTCAAAAGGTCTTCATACATGGAATACATGGAAGAAAAATTCATTTCCTGGTTCCTTTAATTTCCTTTTTTTCATGCATTATGCAGACATTTCTCATTTTCAAATGGTTTCAATGAATCCGTTGATCCGCGTATGTGTCAATTGATAGGTTTCGATGAAGGTGTATAGAAAAACATATTAATTACGAATGCAAATGGTGTACTAAATTGCATATAAATTCATAGCATTTTTATGCTAAAGTATGCCAAACTGGCAAAATTGAATTTTGATTTAAAACATACATGGACACAGTAGCATAGAGATACACAAAAAGTGGATCTGACAAAACTACATCTCATGGATCCTTTAAGATCAGTTTGCATTCCGAAGATCTTCCGCAGACCATTCAGTAAGTCCCAGTACCCCCTTTATAAGCAATCATTGAGCACTAGATCACCTGTCATAGTTACAGAGAATTCCTTATAATTCCTTAAATTAATAATCAATTAGAACTTATTATCACTGAGACCCTCGTTTGTTCCTTCCACTTAATTTGCCACAGTACACAGACGCATAAGGGTCATCTGACTAATTTTGACATGATAGGACAACTGTCCTAACTTTGTCAAGAATATATTCATGCATAGGAGTGTTAAGGCAACAAAATGAACACGGATCTTATAAAAAACCACTCGTAAGCTTAAACGTACGTTCTATGCCTACATATCAGAAATGCAAGGCTCCAGGAGTTCATCGATAAGGGTTCATCGGTTCTGGACCAGAGTCATCCACGTTTTGTTAATTTCAAGCAAGCTTACAAAAAGCACGAAACGCAATACTTAAATTGGGTGTCAGTGTTGGAGTGGCGCATCTCATTCACGCAAGGGCTGCCGTCACATGACTATTGAGATTTTTATAAAACAACCATAATAATCAAACCAGGTAAGATTTTTAGGTTTGCACGCTGAAGATAGCAATAGGAATGTTGTTTGTGGTGACATCCACGTGATAAATCTCTGCCTTGAGCAGGTGTGACGGTTCTGGTAAGAACCGGGAGATTAACGTTTCGACAGCTTCCATGCTCTGTTCGTCTTCAGAAGAAAAAAAAACATACCACGCATGATAGCATGAAGATTTATTAGATTTATTAGAAAATATGAACAATTTGTTCCGCGAAGGGCTAACACTACACATGCAACCTAAGTAAACAACGAACCCGGATATAATGGTCAACAACTGCAGTCGCGTGAAGCATTGTATGATGTCTTGTCAGGAAAAGCTAATATTACAGATACCGGTTCAGAAAACATTTTTATAAACGATAAGTGTCGATTAATGGGAAAAATACTTAACTAGTCAGTGTATGAATCAATTGCAAACATGGGACAGCACCTGTTTAAAATGCTGGTATTGTAGCATCTATACGTACTTGCTTGATGTAATTTTAAATTTTCTGATTATTATCGATTTATACCGACTATAGGTTGAATGCTTTATGCCTCTTAATATATAACAGCTTTAGATCTGGCGTCAGGTTGTATGCCATGAATTGCTATGCTAAAAGTAGTACTTCCATGGGTTTGAGAGTTTTCTCCAACGTTATTTCTCATTTTTGATTCTATACGTGGTATAACCATGATAATGGTAAGCTTTGAGCGCCAGCATTATATGCTGGGATTTGGCTTTGCTCTTCTGGTTGAAGAACCTGACACACTCTCCGTACTATTCTTGGCACGATTTTTTTTTCTTGTGTCTGTGTGCTGAAACAAGGTAAATGAAAGACCATTCACAACGACAGTAACCTGGTAACAAAAAGTGATGAATGGTTTTGCATGTATCTGTATTTGCCTGATCCAATAAAGGATGCCATTAAAAATTTAGCTGGTCCTATCATTTCCACAAGTAAATATTTGTGTTCTGAAGTACAAATACATTTTCAATAACGAAGTCAAAAGAAACTGACCATTTTGAAATTGTACCTTCACTTTCGGGATGATAGTGTCATTATATGAAAGTATTATGAAAATACGCCAAACAAGTTCCAAATAAAAAAGCCCACAAAAGGCACCTTATAATGTTATGACGTCAACAATCCTTCTATAGCCTTCAGCATATCACTCATAGTTATGGGTTATTTTAGTTATGAGTTATAATCCTGTATCGCTGCACCTCCGGTTACCCTGGTAGTCGACGTCACGTGACTTTGCAATCAGTAATGTTACACACGATCAACCAGGTGGCAACATTTGAACTTGAAAACTTATTCAATTCAAAACTTATCGTTGAAAACACGTCTTTTATATTTGGTCTTAACTTAATTGTTATGTGATACTCTTATGACGTCATATTGACTTCACATAGCTCGACGTCAAGGGTTATGTTTAGTACGACGCTTCACATTAATATCCGGACCTCTTTAAAAGATGTGACGACTTTCTACCCTCCAACTGATAGAAAATGGTTTCTGTTATTGCAACGTCACACTCGTATTCACATTCAGGAATCATTGGTGATGTTCATTTGTGTCGTCAAGTTTGAAATTTATGCGCAATACCGTCTGGAAGAAAGTCATGGAGAGGTATTGTCAAGAAAACAGAGAAAGATAGACCACTACGAGCCCGAAAGGTGACCGGGCGGTGCCAAATCATATAACAAGACTTAAAGTTATAGCCAGATTGGCAGATCCAAGATTTACCGGTACAAAAAGAGGCCATTTCTGCGTTACCTTAACACCTACATGATATACACAGACATATAATCAAATAAATGGATGGAAACCGCCAAATAATTAGCATATGTCATTATTCGTGTTTGATTCTGTCTGCAGTGATGGTGATTTCTATGAATCTATTTATGCGTGATTAACTGCCACATACCGGCCATTGATTAACGCAGGGCATCGTTTTAAGAGCTGTTTGGCTTTGTTACTGGTACATTTCTGTATCACAGAGGGAACAAGCAGGAGGGATAGGAACTCCAACGCCAACTCCACGGACTGAGTACCGGAATATCGAAATCCAAGTAACGTAAGATTACACTTAAACCCAAACTGCGATGGAGGTGATGAACTACTCGTCTGAAAACAGCTCTGCAATATCGGGGCTGAGCGAGTGTGAATTTCCGATGTTAAACCTGACGGACGAGAGCAAGGCTGACGTTTACATGCTAAACGCAGCAACAGCGAAGGTGATTCTGACAGTCATGTTCATCATCCTTGCTTTCGGCGTGCCGGGGAACATGGCGTTTCTTCTTATGGTATTTCGCGTGCAGGCCATGAGGAACGCCACTAACATGTATCTGACCAGCCTAGCTGTGGTGGACCTAACCTTCCTTTCCATCAGCATCTTCAACTATTTCTTGTACTTCAACAACTCGATCCGCACTCATCTGAAAACCACGGAGTTGGTCGGCTGCGTCGGGGCTTTCATCCTTCCGTACTTTACCTACTTCCTGTCAGTATCCACCGTGACCCTAGTGACCCTTGATAAATATAACGCCGTGTGCAACCCCATTAGGTACGTCAAAGGGCGCAACAAGCAGCGAGCACTCTGGCTTATCATCGGGAGCTGGGTGGTTGCCGTGCTGCTGGCCGGCCTGATCGCGCTCCGCTTCGCCAAGTTAACAAGGCTGTGCGCCCTGTGGCCTGAAGGAGAAAAGTACCAAGACCTGCCAGTGCTCGTCGGATACTGTGGCGCAGTCTCGTCGGCCGGATTGATAATCGGGCATGTGGTGGAGGTTGTGGTGTTCTTCATAGCCCTGGTGGCCAATGCTTTCATGTACGGTCGGATCATCCTCTATCTCAGTGCCAGAGTTGACAGAAAGAAGCAAGAGCAGCAGGCCGTCCCTACTCAGGCCACTCAGATTCGCAACCAGGTCTCCCGGCTTCTCATCACCTTTGGTACGGTGTTCTTCCTGTGCCAGTTTCCATTCGTCATCATCTCCCTGACGAATCTCGTGGACTATCTCCTTGGGACGCCGCTTGATGTCTCCTACCGGAAGTTTGTCCTGCCACTGACCATTAGCCACGTCTTTATCTTCCTGAACTCTGCCATCAACCCGGTCATCTACAACCTGACCAGCAGCATTTACCGTCAGGCCTTCAAGGAGGTCGTGTGCGGAGTTTGCTTGCTCCGTGAGCGCAAAAGACGAAAGCGTGTGGCTTCGGTACAGCCAGACATGTGCGAAAACAGCTTTGAAAACCACATGCTTGCTGAGGAAGGTGATGTGGATAATAAGGAAGCAAACCTGGAGACAAACATGGAAATTTAGTTTGCCAAAATGTGGACATGGGAACAGACCAAATCCAACCAGATAAACAAAAACATATATTTCAACACTGTACTGCATGTTTTTTTTAATTTAGTGGTCTCAACCCTAAACGATCTGTGAGAGGAGCAAAATCCGCACCCTCCAAATATTTTTCTGATATCGTCGCAGCGCATTTTATTAGCTCCAAGCGTTCACGATCTTCCTTTAGTAATATCTTGCGTCATAGCACACTTTATGAAGTTTTGACTCCATAGCACACTTTATGAAGTTCTCAATATTGTACAGGGATTCTCTTAAAACGTACTTAGCCATATCTCCATGTTGGAACTATACTTGTACAACTTTTTGGGCTTCTCTCTCCTCGTCATAAATTTCGACTCCAATCTGGCGAAAATAGGAAATACCGTTTCTCTTGCAGCGCCCACAGGTTAACCAACAATGTATCTCCCTCTCCACTGACGTGCTCAATGCACGCGGGCTGAACAAAAATTGAATCGAATTGAGGTCCGTCTTGTTCTTTGAGAAAAATGGCAATGTGCAAGAAAGCCCATGTGAAAGCCTAAGGTGTGACACTTGGGCTGAGGCTGTCCATCAAGAAAGCTGGCGGCTGCAAAACGAGGTTGTTGCTTTCCGTCCACCTGCATGATGCCAACACTATAACTGTGCCATTATGGTGAATGAACAAATAACAAATTATCGGTGTATTAAAGTTTAATTATTCAAGGACAGTCGTAAACAATAATTAAGATTAGCATGGCTCAATATCAAAAACGAAATATATGATGGTTAATTTGAATAAGTTGATAATTATTCCAAAAAATGATTTGAAATCTAATTTCGTTTCATTGTAAAATGTTTATTTTGTTTGTTCAAATGAAGCAAAGACTGTGGACTCCTAACCCCAGATCATCAAAGGCAAAAGAGAAGTTTCGTCATGTTTCCCTCTTTGACTTGGAAACCCTTACAGCAGGTTATCAAAAGCATAGCAAGAGAAATTTCCTCTATTTTAAAACTGGACAAATACGACTTTGCAGCATCTAAGTATACGGAAACCTTCAAACGATTCTTTGGAAGGTAAACTTTCCCGTGGTTCCAGAATTCGAATGAACACAGTGGTTCATCCGCCGAAAATAATAGCACAGATTCGCGTCTCTTCGCAAAACAAAAAAACTCTGTTTTAGTAGATTCTGGCCCTGCTGTTCAGTGTGTTTTTCCGTAGGAAAAAGGTGCATAGGCTAATGCGCGCGTATGTGTTAATGTAACAAACGTGTTTTTCTCTGCAAGAAAACAAAACTTCAGTTGACCTACTTTTATGACTTTCCGATCAGTAAAGTTTGTTAATGTTCAAGCAACAGACATGTTAGTGTCTTTTCGTGAAAACGCAAAATGCAGATATCGAGATGTCTGCCACTGGCATCATTAATATAATTTAGACATTAATGTTTTGCCTTCAAAGGCACTACAAATGTAGGACAACGTCGAAATTGAAAACCAAAATGCCATTTTTGACATTGCCGTCTCTTCGCAAAAACGGTGACGTAAAAACAAGGGCTTTTTGCCATCGAGGGAGTGAGAACGTAATTAAATTACACTCGCACAAAAAATTTATAGTTATCGTTTCAGTTTCATTAAAAACTTTCATACCAAAGTAGGAAGTACAAGCAAAATGTACACAAAAAATTAAATAAAGTGTAACAGTTGAAACTATAAATGAGTACATTTTTACATCAGCTATTGAAAAGTGGCTGTTTCTCTATGATGGGTTCTTTCCATTATCCTTTTCTTGGTCTTTTAGAGCACAGGAAATAATGTCCATTATGAAAGATGAATTAGTTGACAACAGAAAAACCTCATATTTTATAGAAGCTCGTGAACTGTTTACTTACTGACTCGAATGCACAGAAAAACGAAAACTAACATCAACAAAGGAATATTAAAATAATTTTTACTGGTAACCATTTCATGCAGAGACAGACTCAGAAGACAATTATAGTTTTCCTAAAACAAAATCATTCCCATGAGAAAAGTGGCACTCATAAAACCACGGAGATCACTTACAAGGCCATTAACAACCAATGGAAAAGTTACAAAAGTGAGGGTATTATTTCCAGGTATAGCTGCATGACAAGGACTTAAACCTTGTGAGAGCTGATAATAACAATGGAAAGTAATTATGCATGCAGTTTTGCTGCTTTTAGTACCGGTAATAAGCTTGCAAGTAAGCTTTCAACTTGCAGTACTACGAAATTCAATGAATCTTTCCTTCCCAAAAGCTGTTCACGCTTATTTTTTCTCGTCTCCATTTACATAAGAGGATAATAATGATTCCCTCAACCAAAGATCCTGTTACCAAGTTCCTAGATTTGATGGGTTGGGCACGTTTGCTATTACACAGGCAAGGCATGCCCTTGCTGAACCATAAGCTGACATATTTATCAGGTCTGTATCGGGTATTTTCCCTGATGCATTTAAAGTAGGAAATGTTCTACTGATTCGCAAAGGGATAACAAACATGATATTGATAATTTAAATGCACCTCCGTGTTGTATTTTTCTCTCAAAGGAGATGGTATTAAGTGCTACCATATAGTGCCACTAGAGCTGAGGCTGACCGCATTTGATGGCATTCTCCAGTCCAAACAACCTACATAAATTATGTGTAGCCTATGCAATGTGACATCATAAAAAGAGCTATGTTACACAAAACTATTTAACAGTAACAAAACAGTCTATCAAGGTTTGGCTTCAGAAGAGAATCTGTTAAGTGAGCAATATTATATGGTGCTAATGATTTACTAAAAAGGCCAACGACGACAAGGTATTGACTGTTGGAATATTCTTGAACCATTCAAAGACGTTCTATTCTGCTGACTATGATATTTTGCTTTCCCAGGCTGGATCACAATGGTGTACAAGGAATAGCCTAAGATCGATTTAGGAGTTATTTGACGGAAAACACGTTGTATCATTCAATCCAACAATGTTTGAAGAGCACCCAGTTTCTTGCAGAGTTCTACAAAGGTCTGTCGTACGTTCTTATTTCTTTCCAGTTAATATCAACGACATGTGTAACGCATGTGACACTATACCATTGTCTTTATTTGTGGATAACACAAGTCTGATGTAGAGTCAAAGTAAAGTAGATACAAGGTCAATATTCTTAAAAGGGAACTCATAAAGATAAACAATAATTTTTTAGCAAACAAACTATACATCAATGTTCTTCAATCATATTCAATAATGCTTTTCAAATTAAATATTGTGTTTTGTTCGAGCCAAAAGCAATCTAAAAAGAAACTAAAACAGTTTCTTTAGTCTTTAGTAATGGCATTAGTCTGGAAAAAGTCAACAGCTGGAAAACCATACCCATTAGTATTGATGAGAGCCTAACCTGGAAGAAGTACTTTGATTGCTAAGTCATCGAAATATCTCGGCCTATTGAATCGTCTGAGGTTTTTTTACCCAAAAATCTCTTGCTAACTTTCTTATAATCCACTTGTCGTTCCGTAATCTTAACTTTTCCATCATCATCTTAGATGGGTCATTTTCATGTAGTTGGCTTCGTGTTTTAGAAAAACGAGCTGTTCGAATAACTTTCAGTAGGCCTACAGGTTATCGATATCACACCACACTTTCAGATGCTGATCTTAAATGTTACAGTTCAGTGTTCCTTACTTCTTCAGCCTCGATAAATTCGTGTACAAAATGCTACTTCATAAATGTTCATTGTCATAGTGCTATAATAAAGTATCTCCAAAAAACAAACCTTCATGTTGGTTTCAGCGTAACAACAATGTTTCCAAAAGTGGAAAAAATACAACTCTAGGTTCTGGAATAGTCTAAGCATGGAGGAAGGAACATCCCTGTTGGTGGTGGACTGAGTCGTCGTCCTCTGCGAATCTCTTCTCTTCCTACTGCTGCTGAGTATAGGTGGGTGTTTTTGTTTACGATGACTGACCAGTCCTATGCGCGAAGCGCAGATCTTGGCACATTCCAGGCAGACGTGTTGATCTCATCGTCAACCTTGGCATTCTGCAAGACAATCCTACACAAATGGTAGAACCTGTCCACGGCTTTGAGTGGTTCGTTGCCAACGGTTATGACAGGGTTTGTAGGCAATGCGCCTGGCCGTGGCTGAGAAAGCACTTCTGTCTTCTTGATATTGATAGTTCATTAACCCGTATCGAACGGAAGCTCTGACAAACTGATCCACGATGAATTGCGCATCTTCTCAGGTGTGAGCGATCATCGGCGAAGAGTAGATCCCGCAACATCATCCACAACGTCTTGGTCATGGCCTTCAGCCTCTGGAGGTTGAATACACTCCCATCCGTACGAAACCGGATCTTCACTCCTCTGTCACAGTCCTTGAAGGTGTCATGGAGAATGGCGGAGGACACAATGCTGAAAAGCAAAGGGCCAAAACGCAGCCCTGTTTTGTGCCATTATTGACTTGGAACTGGTCAGACAGGCGCCCTCTTCCACTACCCGATCGACCATACCATCATGAAACGAGCGGATGATGTTGATGATCTTGTCTGGGGAGCCAACCTTCGCATGGATCTTCCATAGCCCTTCCCTCCCGACAGAATCAAAGGCTTTGGTGACATCGACGAAAACAGCTTAAAGGTCCATGCTTTGTTTCCTGCACTTTTCTTGAGCTTTCCTGACCGAGCGCGGATGCTCTCTCCGAGCAAATATCCTAAAACATCCTGGAATAGTCTAGTCCAGTATCTCTAGTAAACATCTTTAACTTTGTGTAAATTATCACAAAAACACAACTTTGTATTATTTCGTGATCTTTTAAGACTTTATTTACATACATTAATGTTACGTCACGCCCCTCCAGTGGCGACATTCTGGGCAAGGGTGCCCTCCTCCCCATGACGTGGCAATCAGAAGGTCCCTGAGCGGCTAGATACGCGTCTGTTGGGCCTTGAAAGTCCGGTGACTGGGGTGTTGGGCACTGGGAGATCTGACGTGATGGGCCCCGTACTTCGTGACGTAACCAAGATAATACGTTACTCGAAATAAACAACGGTTGGATTCCCGACATATGTTCAAGAACAAAATGGCAGCTGTTTATTCAACGCCCCTTCACTAGCTCATACACAACCAATACACCAGCAGAGGGCGCTGTTGTCGGGAAGACTTTGTGACTAGTCTTCGCCCGGGGAATTGAGCCAGACAATTGCACGTGTGCATCTAGTGTTACTACAGGGACCTGAATAAGTCTATAGGGCTGTCTGAGGGCTACGCCACTCACAACTCACGTTTCGAGAAAACTGACGGTAAACTTCCACAAGAAACTCTTACTGCACCACTGCACCACTAATACCCCCTCAACCTACTAAGCCCCTGAACGACACACGCACCACTCAGGTCTTGGGCAATAGCCATGATAACTAGACATAATAGCTAAACAATATACAGGATTAATGATGCTTACCACACGCCCGCTTAATTGTTAGCTTCTGTCTTAACCAAGCAAGCCTGCTTGTCAGCAGGGGGATCGAACCAAAGGCAAACTTATGCTACTGCAGTGCTGCTACACAGTACACAGGCCCTACACGCCTCGTAGAGACAAATCCAACCACCAAAATTAGAAGCCAATCGGTAGTACGTGGCCATTCTGTTTGCTAGCATGTGGTGCGCGCGCGTGTAATTCCTCCTGGACCAACATGCATTAGTCAGTTGCCAAAGTGCGCGTGCGCTCAGGTTGAGACAGCTATGTGAGTGTAAATAGCCCCTCGAAATGGCATCTCGTCGGATTTGTCTATCCTGTTCTTAAGTGAGACGTCACTTCAGTTTAAACCACGCCCACTGCACACATGCACTGCACATATCGCCGTTTATGTGGAACCATGGAACCGGAAGTTAACACTCAACTTCTGCGATCGTCCAATGGGGGCCTGCGAATCGCGGCGCGTCCGCGAACCGGATGGCCTCGCAGCCGGCCGCTGCCGGGCTGCGACTACGAAGGCGCGCGCACGCCCCATGTGACCAAGCAGTCACTAGCGTAGATTTCCAAAGAATTTATTCTATGGTCACTAGGGTTGCCCAATATCCTACGTGTAAGCGAAGCCTAATCGCCGCTTAACACATGGCCAAGCGTACATAACACATCTGCTCTTGATAACGTGCAGAACGCCAACTATTGTTCTATTCTGGACCTTCGCCTAGCGCCCTCTGTTGCGTCACATTTGTTAATGATACTCCTGCCCTCGGTAGTTCTTTGTAATATATATGTTTTCCCGAGCGCAACAGGACAAACTCTCAAGTCCCTGTTTCTTTTTATTCTATTTCGAGGAGGGTGCATTCAGTCGTATAGAGTCAGCGTTCAATTTCCTGATATCGAACTGGTTTAATATATTAACATTCATTTTTGCGCGAAACTGAATGCACCCGTGCCATCCTGCATTCGTCTTATTTTGAACTCAAGCTATTTCGCAAAATATGCAGGCGATTTCGCCACTGTTATTTAGGGTATGCCTGGTCAAGAATTGAGATTCGTTTGTGTACTAACGGAAGTTACATTTTCAGTCTAGAGTGTTACCACATAAGGGCATAAAGATTGTCCCTACTGATACAGCTATTTTTGTCCAAATTCAACTTTAAATATCTCAAGTTGGCAACGGCAAATTTTAAATCTCATTTGTAAAAACGGTGTTTTAGAAGTTTTAGTTTATATCTGAAGTCAGGGTTTTTTGCACAGCCAATCAAAATCTTACAAATGAAATTGTCGTTTTCTGTTCCATATGCTGCAACGTATTACGAAAAGTATACCCATAGCATGGAAACACCCTTATTATCCGTTGCAGGCTGCTAGAACAAGCTTTGTGATTGGTCAGATTGCTTGAGGTTTGCAAATATGGTAATACTCTAGACTGATTTTTAGAAGTGACAAGAATATAATATAAAATCAGTGCTCTGAAACATGTCATTGCCGAGCTTTCGGTAACTAAGTACCTTACCTCCTGGACAAATGTTGCTTCTCTTATTAAAGATGAATTCTGCGGATCGTCTAAAATTTTCCTGCACATAGACCAGAAAATTCGAATAGAAAATTCGAACACTAGTAGAACACAGAATTCGTGTTCGACAGCCAAAATGTTGAGGTAAAAGATCAAAAGGACTATTTTGAATATTTCCCTGTCACCTTTATTAAAACTGAAATGATGCGTACCCAACCTATTACATAATTAACAACTGCCTTCTTAACGGTGAAGCAAATGCTAACTAGCATACTTAAGCAGAGGAGCTGTCAGTGAGTAATTGAATAATGAATGATTGATTGAGTGTAATTCTTTTCTTTTTACCGAGCACTAATTAACATATTGGCAGCCTAGTGAGGCAAGATGTAGGCGGTTTATGGTTGCGTTCCAATGTGCGTGTATTTTTACACGATTGCCCATGCATTACTAATAATGACATTGCATATCACAAACAAAACACGATTGAATTTCACATCGTTCTTCTCATGTAAATCGACGGAAATGCATTTAATGCCTTAGGAGATACAGCGGTTTGCTCGCGCTGCCAATTCCTCCAATTCAATATTGTGCACATTCAAACTTGTGGTAACGTAGGCATTAAATTGACAAAAAGTAAGCAAAAATCCAAGTGATGCAATCAACAGTTGAATTCGGACTGTTGCACTTTTATTTACAATTTCCTCTAATTCTTGCATTTTCACAAGATGTCATTAATAGTCTTCGAAATATTCGTCATTGGGTCATATTCCTTCTGAGCTGAAACATATTTTTTCGGACATTGGCTTCGATGTACCGCTAATTATGTATACAAAATTGTCTATGAGTTTTACATTTCTTCTAATTTTGTTGGACTGCGGTACAGTGTATGTTGCTCAGTGATACTTCATTTCAAATAAAATGTAGAAAGCCGAATATATTTGCCTTTTTGTGAATTCACTTGAAGGCCTAATGTTTG